AACTTTGCTCTCAATGTTCCCATCTTTCTTTTCTTTGCTTCTGGAATTTCTAGAGCCATTCTTACTAGATATATCTGCTGCTCTTCTGAGAGACGGATGTGGCGAGAGTCAGGGGATTTCTTAAGGCCATATCATAAGTCATAAGAAGAAAGATTTGATTTGGAGACTCCTTGGTTCACAGCCCAGACTTAGCTTTTATAAATGACCAGATGTAACATTCCAGAATCTTACTGGCAACTACAGACAACTGAAATTGATCCTCGCTGAAAGGAATGCACCACCAAAAGAGTGTTTTATTTTATTAAAGGAAATTATGCATTCATCCATCATTACCAATTCTGCCTGCACAGTTCATTCTGGTAGACTGGGTATGCTCCAGGTCTCTCCTATTAAATGTTGCATCTTCTGGGACTGAGGAAGCGTGCCTTCTCTGTTGCAGCCCCACCCTCTGAAACAGCATCCCACAGAGATACAGACAGGGCCCTCTCTCCTAGGGTGCCGACAAGCACTTAAGTCCTGGCTTTGGTCTTAGGGCTGGTGTTGATGTGTCTGTAGGACCCTCCTTTTGGTTTGATTTGTTATTTGTTGGATTGTTTTGGTCTCAGCTGCCTGTGGGGTGGAATGTTTTTAACTGTTTTTATTGTTTTGTACTGTATTTGTAGGCTACCCAGAGTCTATGGAAGTAAGTGGCTATAATAAATTTAAAATAACAACAACTCCATAGTGAACAGAAGCAGTGTTTCCTAGGCTAGCCAGGAGATACTAGAAATTGGGGTCAAGACATTCTGCCTGCAAAGCCTGTGCCCTGCATCACTAAGTGACAGCTCAAGGACTGCACGTCAGTGAATGCTGCTAAACAGAAACTGATCTGAGGATACTGTTATGCAAGAAGTTGATATTTTTTTAAAAAACAGTAATATCAGATATTTAAGAGGGAGAAAAAAAACTTAATTTCATCTGCAAGTCTCTTAAATGTGAATCGTTCCTAAGCACTCCATAGCAAAGAGTTATTTGAAGAGCTTCTTCCAAATTAAGAAAAAAAGAAAGCATTCACTTGCAGCATATTTTGCAACTGTAAATCAAAATTCCAAGCACTGGACAAAGGCCCATTAAGTTGTGCAGTTGAGTAATTTTTTTTCTGTATGGATGCTACTGTTCAGCGCCTAGAAGGACAGTGATGGAATATATACTGGAATTGAATGTTCTATTCAGAAGTGAATTTTTAAAATAGCCAGGCTGTGCATATTAACAACTAGAAGAAAAAAGGAAATTGAAGAACAAAGAAGTATCACATGTCCTGCAAGTAATGTATTTCTAGAGTCTTTAAGATTGCTAATTTGTTTCTAAAGATAATGTCACACTTCACCCAGAAACTGAAGGCAATCAATACCTGACTATATTCCAACCTACTGTTTTTTATTCTGTTCCTTCAAGGGGTGGGCTGCATGACCTCATAGTTGGTGCCATTTTACCCTTTCAGTAACTGTAATGAAGGTTTGTTGGAAAGCAGCTGCATTTGAAAACACTTAGAATTCAGGTTTATTGTCAGGTATGTTCTTCATCCACCCCCCACTTCGTCCACTAACCAGAAACCAAAGCAGCAGCCTTCCTATTATGTCTAAGCAGGACTTCTGATCTGAAGGTTCCTTAAAAAGAACAAGACAGCAGAGTTTAAAGGTGGTTTCCTGGACCTACTGTGTCACCTGTATAACACATCACGCTCTAGGTGTGCATAAATAGGAGATGGTAATGAATATATGCCTACAAGAGAGTTCTTTTGTATAAGAAAATAACATTGCAAAATTATGGTTTGGTACAGAAATTCTTACTGAAGAATTTCTGTGTGTGAGTGTGTGTGTTTAAAACAATTTGTGATATCACCATTTTGTGGGTGAGGGGCAGTTACAAAAAGTGGGGAGTACTCCTTTTTTCAGGGTCTTTTTTCCCCCCACTCTCAGACCCAAAGAACAGACAGAGGTACTCTGAGAAAGATAGTGACAGAGGGTCAAGGATGACATGGAGACAGAAAGAGGCAGACACACAAAAGGGCAGACAATGGGATAACACAGAATGGGTTACAGAAGGGGACAGACAGAACAAATGACCACATATCAATGGGGGTCACAAAAAAGGACAGAGTCAGGGGAAAGACTGTGAAACAGGATTAAGTAGGGGAAGATTGGGAAGAAATCCCAATATTGCAGGCTACATTGGGAAGTAAAAAAAAACATGCCAGAAGACTGTGACTTCCATATTATTGCCAAGAATACAACATGGACATATTCATGTATCCACTAGGAGCTGAGTTCAATTCAAAGAATTACTTTACTTTTTATCATGCAAATCAAAGTATTTTGGAAGGAATATTTAACACATCGAGGAAACAGCTGTAAATGAGAGGAACCATACGTGGAGGAACAACAGGCCTGTACAAACAGCAGGAACACATAGCTATATATATGCTATGTGCAGGCATTCTAATCCCATGTTTCACCCACCCAGCAAAGGAAGGCTGTAGAAATATGAGGCTATACAGTTTTCTGTGTGTCCCTGTATGTTCCTCTACACCATGTACAGTGCTGATGGATGTTTAAAGGTTTGAACTTTCTGGTTTTTAAATTAAGGTTGAGAAAGCACAATTCTAGTCAAAGAATGGTCTCCTGCTTACCACCTAAGCTGTGGCAGAGGCAGAAAAGGAGAGCAGGGCCACTATCACCTGCTCTTTGAGAAGCCAGTTCATTGGGCTTTGCTCTTCTTCTAATAATTACCCAACTCACAACAGAGGTGGAAGAGAGAGATGAAGATCCTTGAACCCTTCATAACTGAGATAGAGGTAATCTTGCTGTCTTTTCCCCACTCACCTGAGGGCAAGACATTTGTATTGATCTGTATGTTGTACTTTCCAGATAAAGGATATAAATCATTTAACAAAACAAATAGCCCCCTGAATTGCAGTGAGGAACCAATGAACCTTCTGGCTTCCAGTAAGTAACTCTCTAAGTATGGAACTGAGGAGAAGGAGCCCTCTTGTTTCCAATAAAGAGAATCTGATGTTGAAATCAGATGAAAAAATTAAAAATGGTTTTGAGTGAGAAAAAGTTGGAAATGTACCTGATTCTGTGACCAAGTACTTATTATTGTATGACTTATGTGATATTCATCTTAGAAGGACCTAATCATGATATGGTATTAGAGGTTAAAAGGACATGATAGAGCAAAAGTTAATTCACACAACATACTAGATTAGACTAAAATGAGGCCAGATAGCAATTCAGCCCAGTGACTGTCTTAATGTACTAGGGGAATCAAGCCATCACATTAGGGCATGATGCAGTTTATTTATGTGAACACAGAATCTGCTTTGTTAACTGAGGTTTAGAGTTTAACATATTGTGGGAACCACTCACAGTTACTTTCTGAGTTTGAACTTTCAGTGGGTCAGATCAAAGAGTAGACCTGGTCTTCTGTCAACAATGCTAGGTAAAACAATTCAATCAGACACATACAGCCATCTCTTTTTCCCTTTCTCTTCAGTATATGCTTTGACTATTCATATAATATGGATTAGCCAAACCTGAATATATAGGAATAAAGAAGCTTTCATCCATTAAATGCATTTAAAAGAAAAGAGTGAGAGATAATGTTCCAGTTTTAAATTGTGAGTTGCCTAGATCAGCTTTTTCCCAATCTGATGTTTTTTACTACAATTCCCAGAATTCCTGATTAGCACTGCCAAAGGCTGAGTGAGATGATATGCCTCAGTTTTGTTACACGCTGATCAACCTTATGTTAAACAAACACTGGAATTCTTGCTCAGAATTATCCATGGAGAGAATCCATTACTATTATCAATATTTGGAAGCTAGGACAAGGACAAATTGAGAAAGCTGACTAATATTAATATGTTCATTAATTAAAACAAAAGCAAAGAACTTGTTCTTGGTTTATTACAGATTCTTAAATAGATCATAAAATAATATCCCAGAATATTGTAGCTCATTGCTGTCTTTTAAAAACTTTTGTTCTAGGTGGTACCCTGTAGGAAAAGTCAGTTAATTTTAATTGGGTTTACACCGTAAGTGACACCAGAAAAACTGCAGTAATTCAAGTATGGGGTACTTCCAACTTTGATCCACCAAAAAGAAAGAGAATGAGAGGTAAGAATTTTGAGGAAGCTTGGATTAAAATTATAAACACAAATAATTTACAATTAAGCATCAGCCTCACTAAAGGAAACTGAACATACATGTATACAATGATAAATTCCCATCTATAGAAAAGGAAAAAAAACCCCTTATCCATCTGTGGCAGAAATATTATGAAGCATGAATATTTTTAGAATACAGAATCACAGTCAGTCTCATGAATTGATATATGTCTTTGAATCATATTCTGAGAAAGCTAGAAATAAAATCTGGCTGCATTACTATCTGAAAACTCCTAACAATACCCATACATTTTCTGTAATTGACAAGAGTATAGTCATATAGCTGTTGAAATCTGGAGCCTGTTACCAGTAAAAGGATCATTTAAGCCTCTGTGGCAGATTCTTTTCTCTCAAGAGTTTCCCTTGTTCCTTTAATTATAACTGCCTGCTAATAGTCAGCATAGTCTGTTCAGCGGTAGAGTTCTCTGTCCTCAGCACAGTTATAGGTATTACAGTATTTGCTAACAAAATCAACTAAGTCTAGCCACACCCTACCCACCCAAGCATAGCTGCAGTGAGGGTAACTCAAGAGAGATCATCTGGGCCTCCTGCTTGGCAGGCCTGCCTTCTTGCTGCTTTACCTTTTTGAGCATTAGTTTCACTGGTTAATAGAATGCAGAGGTAAGTGAAAGCCGCCCTCTCAGGGAACACAGATGACTCTTTGCCTCTGATGCTACAAGCCCAGCCACTGAATTGGTTAAAAAAAACCCCTAGGTGCTCTAGGGGCAATGCTATGCCACAGCAACATACAGAGTTTGTCAGAGGGCCTGATTCAAAGGAAATGTGTACTTACTGGTACTCGGAAAGGAGATGTATTTGATGTATCTGTGGGATTGCTCGTTCCTGAGATGCTCCGTCTTCGAGGAGACCTCTCTGATGGAACCTCTGAGGGAAGAGGGTGAAAAGAAACAGGAGAAAAATAAGCCTTTCCTTAAACAGAAACTTCCTTCTCATTCCCTACACAAATCTTTTAATGTAATGATTTCATTATATCAAATAACAAAATTATATACATATAATAGAATTAACAATGTAATGTAATAGTAAAACTAAAAAAAAAGAAATCCTGGAAAATTATATTACAGCTGAAACAATTCCAAACATGTTGAACAAACTGCTCAGAAGTCCCTTTTATTTTATTTTATTCATTTTGCTCCTCTGTAAAAAAAAGAGTAACTCAAACTGATTACAGCAATGAAATACAGATTTCTACATCAAGGGTTTCTAATCATTCTGTTGGCTATTCTTCATGCAGAAGGTCTACCATTCTTGATGTCAGGACAGATTTCAAATACTGGGGATATAGTAGCATGCAAAACCCACTCACCTTTATTACAGACATTGTACACAGGTAGTCCTTGACTTACAACAATTGGGACTGGAATTTCTGTCACTAAACAATATGGTCGTAAAGCATGACTGCATCGCTTAGTAACAGCAATCCCTGCAGTCCCAGTTGCTGTCGTTAACTGAATCCCAAGGTTATTAAGCAAGACAACTTCCTGCCAGCTTCCCACAACCAAAGTCAGTAGGCAAGCCAGCAGGAAGTTGCACATCCCAAGCCGGTAAGCAGGTAAGTGGCTGCTGCCTGGTGGGGAAGGGAGTGAGGGGATGTGCGGGGATGCAGGGAAGGGTCAGGGAGGGTGTGTGAGAGGTGTCGTGCAGGATGCACAAGAGGCACTTTGTGGGTCAGGGAGGATGCACGGGGGTGCTCAGCAGTGCTTGAGAGCACTGCACGGGTTGGGGAGGGTGCATGAGGGTGCAGTGCAGGTCAGGGAGGGTGCATGGTAGTGCATGAGAGGTGCTGTGCAGATCAGGGAAAGTGTGCGGGGGTGCACAGTGGTGAGCAAGAGGTTCCATGCAGGTTGGGGACGGTGCACAATGATGCAGGAGAGGTGCCGTGCGAGTTGAGGAGTGTGCAAGGTGGTGTGCAGCAGTGCACGAGAGGCACCGCATGGTTCAGGGAAGGTACACAGGTTTGTGTGAGTGGCCAATATGCCGCAAGCACAGAGGGGCTGGGAGAAGGTATGCGGGTGGGGGAGACACCCCAATAACTTGCCATCTTCCCTGCTGGCTTCCCCTTTGACTTTCTGAGGAAGCCAGCATGGAAGGTTACAAATGGTGATCATGTGATCGCGGGGCGCTTGGCAACCAGTCATAAGTGCGAACCCTTGGAATGGCCTGATGCAAACATTCCAGTGTTGGCTCATCACCTTCCAAAAGTGAATCTCTTAAAGCAGGAAGTGGTTGGAAGAATTCCTTAAAAGTTTGGCAGATATTGCTTAAAATTTAACCAAAATATAGCATTTAAAAGCATGCTACACACTGAGATCAAGGGGGCAGGAATTTTTAGTATAACCAAACGTGATTAACAAATTCCCAAAAAAAGAAACAGATACTTATATATGGGGCCTCTTAAACTTTGGTTAAAAATTCAAATCTGTTTTCAGCTAAATACTTTATAAATGTCAGGATTTCTTCCAGTTCAAAGATTTTGAGGGTTCCTCTGAACTTAGTTTTGCACTACTTTGAAGCAACTTCTAATTCTTAATGCCTATGTGTTCGAGATAGAACATGGTTTCTCTGTTTCAGCTGATGCTTAACACAAATCACAAAATAGCAGGGCTAGACTTCCATGAAGTCTGGGATGGGTCATCCCCCCCCCACCACTTCATGGGAAAAATGGTGCTTGTAGTACCTCACTGTTTTCATCAGAATGATGAAAGCATGTTGCGCTATGAGCTCTGCCCTTTTTGTATAACATCACAACATACACAAAAAAGGAATGGGGCTTGTGTGACACCTCAATGCTGCTTGACACCCCCCTGCCCCCGCATGTGCCAGTGCATCGGTTCTTCTGCTTCCTGAAGCCTCAGCTCTGACCTCTAGCAGTTTTCACAGATAACCCCATCAGGGACCCTCACCTTATGCTTCAATTCAGTTTTTGACCATTTAGGTAACCTCTTTTGTCTTTTAAAAATGCTTGTCTTGATTCTTTCTGCTTAGGTAAGCAGTATGCACCACACTCCTGCTTCAGCCCTCCTTCCAGTTTCTGGACTCTGGCATAACATTACTCCTCTGTCATCCCCTCCCTCCACACCACAAGTTCTACTCTGCAACTCACAACCATGGTGACAGCTGTTGGGGAAACTGCCTGACTGCAACGCTATAATGTTATGCTATCACCGCTGAGACTCAGCAAAGGCTTCTGAGTTTATGTTGTACGGTTATTGGAGGCTTAATTTCTAATTTGCTGGCTTCTTGAAGCAGGACTAGAAATTGGGATAAGCTTGGGAACATCAGGCACAGGTGAGAGATCTTATTCTTTTACTGCTGAGAACTTCACAGCAAGAAACAGGCTTACAAGCCAGGACAGTGGTTGAAGGGGGAGAGGGGAGAGGGAGGGAAGGGAGGAAGAGAATCTGCTGGAAAGGTCAGGGGTGGGTAGACCAGCGGGATATGCCACACAAGGACATTAGGGGCACAAGTGGGAGAGGGTAGCAGGTAAAGCCCTGGCAAGATTTGGGTGGGTGGACTAGTGGGATATGCTGCAGTGGGATTGCAGGGAAGAGGAGAGTGGGAAGGCACTGAGAAGGTAGGGTGGTGCACAGTCACGCCAAAGCAGAAGTAGGCAGATGGGCACTGAGCAATAGCTACCCAATTTACACACTCGCCTGTAAAATCACTCCAGGATCCCTCCAGATGTGGTTCTGGCCAAAACTGGGAACAACAAAATCTTCCAGGTTTTATTTCTGCCGAACCATAGCTACTCAAAAATAGATGGGGAGAACTCCCAAAACACATTCATTTGGTTCAGATTCAAAACGAAATGTATTTTCTGTTTTACACACACCCCTATTTAAAGCAACAATAACATCAGGACCAGTTAATCAAATGAAAAATGGGTATCAAGAAGTGCCTCAAAGTAAATGAAATTTGGTTTTAAATGTGTACAAAGATTTTAAAACTTCTTCATAGAGATTATCTGCAATTCATGAACACTTCCTTAAAGCCATGATGAACAGAGTTAATTCTGTCCAACACAATCTCTGAAAAGGGGAGCTCTAATATAAATTGTGTTGCAGACAATTTAATAAAGACTGAAGTTTAGTCTTGGGACAGTTAATAGGATCAGAACAGATAGGTGCAGTCCAAAATTATGCATTTATTTTTAAATAAACCCAGCTGTTAAACAGTATTTACCGTATTGTATACTTTCAAAAAGATTTACAAATTTGCAAAAAAAAAATAAAAAATAAAAAATCTTTCTACAACTAGAGTAATTTAGGATATTGCTCATTGTTTTCAGAACATGACCCAACCTATCAAACTATCAAATTAGATAACCAAAACAGAAAATGAAATAATTTTTAAAAAATCATTTACATAGTTTACATAACAACAACAAATAGGTACCTTTACAGCAAATGCAACTCATTTCAAATTTGATACGCTAAACCAAAAGAAATTCAATTCCTTTCCTAGTGTCTATTCAAAAACTGTTGAAAAAACTCTTGTGAAATATTAAGAGACTCAAGAGGATGACGCCGGGATGCCTGTCCAAATACAATCCCCAAACTCTTGCTCTTCTGCTTTGGGAAGCCAAGCGGCTGAGACCACCCACACCAGCTCCTGGCCCTTGGATCACTGCTCGTGCAGTTACTCAAGACAATGGCTGGATTCTCCCCTCCCCTCCACTTTGCAGAGAGCAAGGAGGAAGCACAAGAGAAGACCACAGCTATTTAATCCCTCTTTCCAAATTAACATCCTCCTCACCCGTTATTTCAGGCCATTAACAGGCGCCCAACAGCTAGCACTCTTCTGTTGTAGACTGTTTTCCTATCCAGAGCAAGATTCGCTTCCCCTCAGAAGAGTAATGACAAATGCTGTTGCTATATGCTATATTTGGATGGTACAAAAATATGTGTCTTTATTCCAATTCAGACATAATCACGTATCACAGAGAGATTTATCTGATACTTGCTATCTTGCTTATTCAGGAAAACTGCCTGCCATCATCACAGCATTTCTGTTCTGCTGAATTTTGCAATCATATCTGAAGAAACATAAGTCTAGATGCTACACCATAGAATATCAATAGTTGAAAAAAGAGGGTAGTTCAATTTTTACCAGGAGGAAGACAGAGGAAAATAAACAGTTACCCTATTCCTACCTATCAGAAATATGACCTTGAGATAAACTCATAGGGCGGGTTGTGATGTTCAGATTTCAGAAAGCCTACAAATGAATTATACAGAGCAATAAAATATTTCCAAACAAAGATGAGGTAACACTTCAAGATGTGAACATAAGGACCAGATTTTAAAAAGTAAAACTGAACTAGCTGTCCTAGCTTCTTCTAACTGCATATTAACAGTTAAAAACAGCTACAGATGCTGTTTCTATGTCCTTAAAAACATTTTTTCTCCTGTTGGAAAAACTATGCTTTCACAATTGGACCAAAACTATCTCCCTCCTCTTCCCATTGATGCTACATTGTGCTTTTGTATTATTTTTATCTGCTATTAAAACCAATCTTACTCTCCCTCTAAGTATATTAAATAACTATACTGGTGTGAGTTCCTAAAACAAAATCAATGGATCTTCTTGTCTTTCCAAGTCAGCAAGAACTTAAAACTTGAACTGGTTCACACCCCAGGGCTAACATATATGAGTCAGAATGCTCAGAAGTTCACATATTCAGGCACACACTCACAGACTGTGAAAAGACATGAAGCTAACCTTAATATTTGTAAATGGTTTGTTTTTGTGCAAGAGTAATAAATTGAAAAATATCCACTTTCTACTGATAATTCACAAAACAGCAAAGTTACAAACACGCCTTCCCCTTTTAGCACACACATGAGGACTGGCAGTTGCAAAAC